GACCACTTTAAAGCTCAAGCTGACAGTATTATTAAGAACTTCACTGAAGTACATACTCTGAAGTATTAGGCTCCCAGAATATATAACAATGCTCTGAGACAAACTGGGCTCACGTGATGGGGTTGCATTTTATTTTCTTAACAGGTCTTTAACTTGGTCAGCTCACTTAGATGGTACGTCATGTGAATATAATCAGTACTGTAGTTGAAATTGTGTTATACCACTACTTACATGTTGGCTTAGGTACTATGCATAATGTTAATAGCTGAAATGTTAAAGAATATGAAGTCTAAACTATAAAGGATGAAGTATACCTATATTAAGCCTGTTTTAAGACTGCTCGGGAAATAAAGGCCTTATTCCCTTATATATGCGATTTTCATAATGTATACATAGTATATTCTAAGTGTTCATGTGGGGTGGTCTGTGTACTCCCATACAACAAAGTGACAGATTTTTAATTTACACAATGTATTCTGCATTTTTCAAATATTTATCTTGTGTACATTACAAAATTCTCACATTAATATTCATTGACCAAATCCCATGCAGGGGAAGACATTTAGAGTACATTCAATTTGGCTGTTTTGAAAATATACCTTATTTTGGGATCACTTTTCTCTCATGTGTGTGATTTTTTAGAAGTTGGTACAGTGTGTGGGTGACCATACAAATGTTTATGAAAATGTTATTGAAGTGATTCCGTCAGTATTTTGTTTAATACTTGGAGAATGACCTTCATATTTATATATTACATTTCTTTGTTTCAAGTATACAGTGATAAATCCAGGAAGTGTTTCCTTTTTTTAACAATAATTTGTAAAGTGTTTGTAATAATGTAAAGGTGAATCTTATATATGTTCAATAAAAATCATATCTTAAAAGTTTAGATTTCTTTTATTTTTTTATTTATTTATTTTTGACACAGAGTCTCACTTTGTTGCCCAGGCTAGAGTGAGTGCCATGGCATCAGCCCAGTTCACAGCAACCTCAATCTCCTGGGCTCAAGCGATCTTCCTGCCTCAGCCTCCCGAGTAGCTGGGACTACAGGCATGCACCACCATGCCCAGCTCATTTTTATATAGATATTAGTTGCCAATTAATTCTTTCTGTTTATAGTAGAGACAGGGTCTCGCTCTTACTCAGGCTCGGTTTCGAACTCCTGAGCTCGAGCAATCGCCCGCCCGCCTCGGCCTCCCAGAGTGCTAGGATTACAGGCGTGAGCCACCGCCAGGCCTCCTCAACCATTTCTTAAGAAATCGATTTCACAGCAGATCTTAACCATTTCCACAGTGATTTTCCTGAGAGTATGCATTACAGAAAACTTCGAACCTCTGCAGAAAATGTGCATACCTAAGATTTTTTGCATCCTACATTTGGCAGTCCTCAAAGCAAGTAAGCACGTGCAGTTACTTTAACCACCTCGGTAGAGCGCTCACCAGCCCACAGCGGGCACTCATAGTCCACACGATAGTTGTGCTGCTGCATTGACGACGGATCCGTTTTGCTGTTGTGTGATGAGGAAAGCTTGAAAGCGCTGAAAAACTTGTTTACTTTACAGGCAGCTTACTTGTAATGTAAATCAGAATAGGTAACATATACGTAGATGTTTTCATTATGTTATTTTAAATGTTCACAATTTTATTTTTTATTTTTTTATTTTTTGAGACAGAGTCTCACTTTATTGCCCAGGCTAGAGTGAGTGCCGTGGGCGTCAGTCTAGCTCACAGCAACCTCAAACTCCTGGGCTCAAGCAATCCTCCTGCCTCAGCCTCCCAAGTAGCTGGGACTACAGGCATTCGCCACCGCGCCCGGCTAATTTTTTTTGTATATATATATTAGTTGGCCAATTAATTTCTTTCTATTTATAGTAGAGACGGGGTCTCACTCTTGCTCAGGCTGGTTTCGAACTCCTGATCTCGAGCAACGTCGCCCGCCTCGG